ACGCACTTTATAAATGGGGTCAACTGAAGTGAATGAGTCTGGGGAATTTTGGAACTTTCTCTCCACATCAAGTTGTTTCACCATTTTGTGCTCATGCGTTAACACCTATGATGGAGCGACCTGGTGGCCAGAAAAGAGTTGTAGGTCCGAAAACCTTGATTTTGATGAGTCTTTTGAGACAACATTAAATTGGATACTTTCATTTAGCATGAAAGTGTGTCTGATGAAGACATTTGTGAGTCGACCTCACCGGAAGACAATGTTTGATTCCCATTCTTCTGCATCCATTCGCGGTGAGCACCACTTCCACTTGTTTGTCTTGACGATAACTTTAAGCATTTGTCATTTTTCAATTTGGCAGGACAAACGAAAGCGGATTCCATTTTCACCCAAAACGAAGAAAAAGGTGTCAAAGAGTGCGTCGGCTTTAGCGTCGTACAACCGCACACACACTTTAACCCGATCTGGTAGTCTGGACATAGACTGGACAACGGATTGCCTGGCTCAAAACCCATCCTTTCGCGAGATATTGAGATCTCGCGGGTATGCGAACTATTAGGATTAGGTTGTCGAGACTAGCGTGAGCAGTGTTCACCTTTTTTCGTTCACGTTGACGAAGGACTGATTAACTTGTCGAGATTATGCACTGCACCGTCGTAGTTCGAGTCCCGCTGGCACATACCTTTTTGAGAAATCAGGGCTCTGTGAAAGGTAACGGAAACAACTTGTCTACTCATTGGGTTGTGGGAAAATGCAAGTACCAATCCGTCATCGCCTTAAACGAAACAGAGTGTGAGCACAGTCCATAGAGAAGCCTAGAAATTGGATCGTCGGTGCCAAGGCCAGGCTGGTGTGTCCCCTCAGGTTTGATGACATGCTCGTTTAGCTGTCGCGTGTTGGTTCGACCCGGTTGTGGCAACTTGCTCGGAGCGACGGGCGATCTTGTGCAACCTACTTGATCCTACATCCTCAGGTCAACGATCCGCTATCGGAAATTGTCATAAACACTGTGAGCAGGTTGTTTTAGAGACCAACAAAGTGGCCAACAATAAGAGCTACATTTAGCCTATTTCGCCGAAAGTGATGAATTTTTACGCAATCTCCTGAGTAGACCGTTCTCCTCCATTCAATCTCACACAACCTTGCTTCGAAAAGGGTTTTCTCGAACATCTACCAATGAATGGACAATGAGTAATGCATTTGAGTGTAACAGAAGATACAACTTTGCTTCATTGACAATCTCATCAGAGAATGTGATCTGGGCAAAAGTGTCTGGCCTTCCATGAAAGTTACATCTGCCCCGTGACCCGAGGGTACTCGTGGCAGCCTGGCATAGAGACCGGTGTGCCGGGACTCTAAGCTGCACA